AGCCACAACAAGAAAAGATCATACATTCCACTCACAAACCACTCTCCCATCAAACACTGGTGGTTTTTAATATTTTGGTTGCTCAAAACTTGAACCAAAACTAGCAACTTTGAGTCTTGACTGTCAGACATTGGAACTACTTGGAGTAGGGTGTCTTGGTTGGAGAAACACCCTAGACAAGAAACATTTGCCATCATCATGTGGAAAAGCATAATTTTGCAAAAGAGGTAGTGGAAAAACAATTGTGGTAAATCAAGAAACTGATCACAATCAAATCACCTCTCATTTGCACCTTTACAGACATTGACCCACACTTATTACTGTGGTGATTAGGAACAACTCCTTCTTCTGCACCTTCCACGTCTCTCACCTGTCGCCCCCCAGCCCGCACCCCCTTCTGCACATGGCCCTGTTACCTGGCACGCCAACACTCTGGTTTATTTTCACTGGGATCCGCTTTCTAGCGCTCTCTGCCAGAGACAATATTATGCTGGAAATATACAGGTATTAACTGTTAAGATTTCAGATGGTCAAATAAACTAGAGGTGCCCTGCTCTGGCACGTCCCAACAGAGACGAGATTGTGCACAGACGGTTTGCTGCTAATGAATCACGAGGGGGGAAGCGGCTCAATCACTAATAATTACTCCTCCCTTCTGCCCTTCACTCCATCCATCTGTCCGTCCTCCTTCTGCAGGCCCAGGTGATTTCCAAGCAGCGCGCTCGTTTATCTTACCCACCTTTGATTTCAATGTGACATTCATTTCATGCTCATTTCCTTGGCCTGGCCATCAAGGCGGCTCTTTCATAGTGCACTAAACGGCCTCTTATGTGCTGACCTTTAGAGGCTCAAAAGGAGGGGTCGAAACAAACAGTACTCAGCAGGGAGTAAATGATGATGGATCTGTTCTGGCCAAGCTTGGAGTTATGTTACGCACAACTGGCTGTGGTGCACCTCTCCATACATGTGTTCACGTTCAGCACCTTAGGGCCACACTGTGCACTTGTTGTAAGTTTGTGAGTTTGGGCCTCCAGAGGTTAATACTCAGACATGATTAATTATTCAGCAGCTAATTAGGATCTAATTAGAATCCTGAACAAACTATTTAAGAAGAAATGATGAAGAGACTTGTGACAGGGAATGCAAAGTGACATGTTAGAAGGCTTCTGTGCAACAACTACGAAGTTGTCAGGCCTCAGAAAAGGTTTATAATCTATCCATTTGTTTAATTGTTGAGTGGGATACGGTAGATGTAAACTGCAATTCGGTAGACTTATATGTCATGAGAATATGAATCATGATTGCAACAAACATGACAAAGTTGGTTATACATTTGGCACAATGTGGAGGATCAACTTTTCAAAAGCTTTTGAAATCTATGGTTTAACTGGGACTTGTAGCTCAGCTTAGTCTACTCATAACATGTTTATCTGCATGCATCAGCGTGCATCTGCAGCATCATTCGTGGCATTTATTATTTACCTGTTGCGCTGTGAGATTCATTTTGAGGCCATATAAATAACAACTTAATCAGTTGCTAACAAAATAAAATTGATTGTTCACTCCTCTTGTCTTTTGAATTAAGTCAGGCAACTCATTATTAAACAATGTCTTAATATAATTACTTATCTAACAAATTAATATTTGATAAACAAATAGTTTTATTCGCTTAATAAAATATGAAGTGAATACCTGACTTGCTGCTAGGTAATTTAGACTATTTGTGACCTATGTACCCCATAACCCCAAGTTATAAAATAGAAAATTATAAACATTATAAAATGTGATTTCTTAGCCAAACCTCAGGTTTCATAAGCACCATCACATTTACCAATTGAATTTCACCTTTCTGACTGCTTTTTAATTCTACTCATTTTTTTCGATTGCATTACATTTGCAACACTAATATGTAAGTAACGAGCAAAGTGTTTGTGAATCTAGAGCACCACCTACAGTTTGTAGATAATATACCTTTTGACTGCTCTCCCCAAATACCTGTTTTTAATGCGGCTCTCACCTCCAAGTTTAATGTGCATCTGTGACCATTTTGTGCCCACTGCAGTAGATTTTTTAATTTGTAGTACAAAGCCTGTTATTAACCTATCCACAAGTTCATGAAATACATCAGGACCTAAAACATCTCGTGCATGAAGTCATGCTAACAGTTTTTGATATGCATGTGTACAAGAGAGAATAAAGTACATTGGAACGTGTACATGGCATTATTACAATCTGCTCACCAACAGAACATGAGGCATTTTATTCAACACAAAGGTTTGCCATTCTATTAACTGACAGAAAACTTAGAAACAGTATAACGATTTTGAGCAGGTGATTATATTTTGTAATTGGTACATTGCGTTTAGCAGGTTGAGAAATGTAAGTTTAAAACTGATCTAATGCGAGAAATGTCCCACAACAACAGAAAAAAACTACAGTAGCTACCGGTACTGTGTTGTCGTGATTGTGTGTAACCAATGGAGGGCGCCCAAGAATCGTCAGACAAATTCAAATGTTAGTTCACAACAGTGAGAAAAGGTTTTATTGCCATTATCAGTGAACAGAATTCACAAACTAGAAACTTGCCTCGGTGTTATGATGCAACATAAAACATAATAATAATAATCAATATAAATAGTAAATATAAAGTATGATAAAATAAAAGAGCATGGGATTAAAATAAAGTAAAAGAAAATAGACTTTAATATACAAATACAAAATGTACAGACCCCCCCCCATGCATTATAAGCCTGTTCCCATTTTTTTTCTTGATATTTGTCATTTCGTCTGTTAAAGTTCTTGTTTTCAAATCTTGTGCCTTTCAGTTCAGCTTTCTACATGTTTTGACATTAAGATAAACCACAGACTTTCAGCAAATAGCATGTAACAAAAGGTCATTTTACAAGAACTTTAACTGGACATATTTTTGGTGAATAGTAATGTTATAGTATTACTATAAATGTTATAGGACATTGAAAGGCACACAAAACTGTTTTCATCATTATGGAAATATCACAAAAGACTTTCTAAGCGACTTGCACTGTACCACCTTGGGCAAATAAAGGGGGCAAGGACTATTACGAGTTTAAATTCTGCCTACATATAGGCCTATAATTTGAATTTTCCTTTGTTCTGAATAGAATTCATTAACTTCAATCATTCCAATGCTTACCTGATAACCACACCCACACATAAACTGCAGCCAGGACTAATGTGCTGATGAAATTAAAGGGGAACTAAAGACAGAAATCATTTTTCTGTGACGTAATTGTGGATTTAATTGAGGCAGTATGCAGTCACATCCATAACCTTAGGAAAATAAAAACTAGGCTTGCCAGTGGAAATTTTAATTTGCAACATGACAGTAGGAGACTTAATGAGACTGTTGGGTTTTTCCAGTTCATGTCAGACCAATGCTTTGTTTGTAGCAGGCTACAGCCGCTAATGCAACATGGGAATTAATGGAAATCCCCACCTTTAGGATGTATGATCATAGTGAAATTGCTGTCAATTCCAATGATTGTGCGTGTGTGTTATTTAGTAGAATTATTTCAAATGGCTTGAAGTTTTCAGTAGTCAAATTTTATCAAAATGTATAGCAAAAAAATTAAAATAATAATAAAAAAAATAAGTAATACAGCCAAGGTATTTGTAGCCAATTAAGACCATTTTTGCCAAGACTTGAATGGTGTATGGCATATGTATCATGGCCACATTCTCTGCATTCATCATTTTAATTCCTGATGCTATAGAAAGTTTTATAGCACTTGAATGAGCACACGGGTATTGTAACACTTTAATGCATGTGTATGTGTTTCGATGAAAAAAGAACGTGTTTTGAAGAAAATGTAAGCTTAAACGTGTGTTGATACAGGTAAATTATTTTAGTTACCTTGATTCGTTTTCTTATTGCATTTATAACAAATTTTCACTTCTGATGAAAGTGAAACAGGTGTTGGCATTAAGCTGTTTATTTGAGACACTGTTTTGCTTTCATCTTCACCTTTCTGTTTTTTTTTATGCATGGCCTCGTAAAGATGGTGGAGAAATAAGTGATATCTTAGCCTAGCACTTTGGGTAGGCCTAATCGTTTTAGTGCAAATGAATATTTGTAACAAGCCCTGTTTTAGTTTAATAAGTGAAGAATAGCCAACACCACAGGTTTGAGGAAAGGAAAGGGGCTCAGTACGAATGAAAAAACAGAAAGAGAATTCGTAACTGCGTTTGGAAAACGAATTTAAAAATGTCCCAACAGGGAGCGCCACTCGAAGAAACCACCAACCAGGAAGTCTGGAGGGGGAAGGACTTTTACCGGAAAATTACGTCACTGTCACTATCCATGAAGCAGTAGAGTACGCAGGGAAAGTTATTTCCCGTTTTTATCACACCTTATAGCATAATAAATAAATAAATAAATAATAAAATAAATAAATAAATAATAAAAAAAATAAATAAAAATTAAGGATTAGGTCTATTTTATCTTGGAAGAATAAGAGACAAATGCCGAAGACAGTATGATGGCCACTGAGCAATAGTAAGCCTGTGTTGCTGATCAACATGGATTTGTTCCATAAATCAAAGTTAGCATACGTAAAATGTGTTTACACCATGGACAGTTTCGTGGTTTACACACTGCTGGACTACCTGACAGAAAAAAAAGATCTTAATGATATTTCACTGTGCGATTGAACGAGTGAAAAAAGCACACTATTAGGCATGCGTGTGTTGTTAATTAAATTTAAACCATGTGCTCAGTCATAAATGTGAAAAAACTGAAATTTAGCCCTTTCTTCGACATTTAATAATTGTCATTAACTGATTTGTGATTAAATATTTGGCGATTCCATGGAATAACCACAGGAATCTGTTGAACGAAATGAACGTAGCCGGTTACCGTAAACGTAATGACGCAAAGCCGCCGCTGATTGGTTGAGAATTGGGAGGGGAAGAGGGGGGTGCATACATGGGGGGGGGGGTGTATGTCTGAAATATAGACCGTGATCCATCCGTGGAGTTTCAGTGAAGTAGACCTTTCAGTGTCCTCAAGAAAAGAGATCCGCTCCTTCTTGAAAAAGTCAAAATAGGTGGATATTTATCGAAAAAGCTGTATTTTTCTGGACTATATTTTGCCTCACAAAGGGTGTTGTGAACCAATCGTGCCTTTGAGAAATTATAAAAGTGACGTTCACACTCCGTTTTTATTGTGTTCCCAATAATCGGACAACCATGCTGAAGCTATTCATCGTACTCATTTTGTCCGCCGCTGTTCTTTCAGAGTCGGTAAGTTGTTTACTGAAAGTTTCTTATAGTACAATAACTTTGAGGTACGGTGTGGTTCGCCTCGGGAGCGCTGTTGTTTGTCGTCCTGCGATTAGCCTCTCCGGCAGCTTTGGTTGTGATTCCCATCGACCTGGCGTGGTGGTGTGCAGTGACTTGTTTCATACATTAGTTGATAGATTCAGTGTTTTAGCTAGCTAGCTGCTTCCCCATATTTAAACAGTACATTTGTTATGTTGGTAAAGGAGCTGAACATATCCAGTTGGGGCCCAGAGGGGGAGGCTGGTGAGTCACTCAAGTCCAGTGACTTTACTCTCGCTGTTACAAATCACAGGGTCATGTGGACTACTCTACATTTTGTGATACATCTGAGACTAAGATAAGAAATCGATTTTCAGTTTAATTCTGTGATTTTTCTCTTCAAAAATATCAAAAGCATTACTCAATCTCATGCCAGAAGCCAATGTACAATCAGTGGAATGATACAGTCTGTGAAATGCTCAAGTCTGACTCAACTCCCAAAGAATGTGTGTACCGGGGAGTCACTGAACTGGAAGTGGCTGACATTTGTGAATGTTATTTCACAAGGAGCTAAAACCTTCCCATTATTATCTGCTTCGTTATTTCTCCTAAGATTACAACCTTTGTTAAACTGTAAAGCTTTATTCTATTGATAGTTTGTTAAAGAGTTAGTACTAGTTAACACAGATGAAAATGGTTAATACATTATTTGACAGACGTCTAAAGACGTCTTGTCCCCTCAAGTGTAGCTAAAGAAACTCATCTCACACACACACACACACACACACACACACACACAGATATATATATATAAAGTCTGTGTGTGCTATTATATTTCAATATAATAACTAATAATTGCTGTGTCACTCTTCATTAGGATTCTCTAGACTGGTTGTCTCTAGCTGTTGTTTATGTTGTCCTGATACCACCCACATTCAAACTGCACCCTACCCCCCAGTTAGTCCCAGTTGCTTAGTCACTACATGTGCAGTGAAGAGGCAAAGCTTAGTGACACAATGACTTTACCAATAATGTGAACTGAACACTGCAGTTTGCAAACAAATATATGCTTTTAATGGAGATTTAAGGATGCATTCGAAGAGGTCATATGTGTTGCTTCTGTGACATGAGATTCTCACCTGATGTCAGCAGCTAGGACCTGTGGCACGAATCCCAGACTGAGGTCTGCCTTGAGGCTGTACTTTAGTTCTCATTCTGTCATGAGCCAGCGGCTATTGGTGCCACAGACACTCTTACATTCCTCACAGTAAAGTAGTTTCTGCTTGCTCACTGCCTCATCATATTGACCAACTTCTGCCATGTCTTTTTTTTGATTGTGCTTAGGAATGTGACCTCTGCTGACCTTGATCAGACCTCTGAGGGATTTTGCACACTTGGAAGGTTCTCAATAGTGCCATGGGGCCTTTTCATAAGGCAAACTCTGTTCTGTGCTTGCATACTAGGCCAAAATGGACTTACTTTTCACTCAAACACTTTTAGACTTATAAATTTTTAGTTTTTACTTTACTCTTTTTGGCCACTTTCCTTTCCCTTTCTCTGATCATTTGTCCTTCTGAGGTATGCTTTGGTCATTTTTTGCCCTTTTATCCCTTTTTGCCTCACTTTGCTTTGATGATACTTAGCCCCTGAGCTATGACAATTCAACTGTTCAACTCCCTCCCTCTCTCTCTCCAGCCCTTTCTTATTCCCTACCCACTAAGGTCATTATTGGAATGTGGGTTTGTCGTTCCCAGCTAATTGATAACAATGTTCTGCTACCTGACAAAGGACCACTCTTGATACAGAGACATTATTGGGAGTTTCAGGCATGATTGGAATGTTTTTTATCATCTCTAAGCTGCTTTATGATTTTCTTTTTGGTGATGGTGGACCAGACCTTTTCTCATTTAATTATTAGTTTTTCAGTTTTTCATTTAAGCCTTCCACTTTATCTTTACAAAAATGTACTGCTCAAGAATAAATACTAATCACATTAAGTGTTCATTTAATTCACACAATGTTCCAATGCTGGAAGGTAATTAATGGTGCAACAAGAAATCCTCTTTCCATCAGAGTTAATCCATGTTCCTACTACCAGATCTCAGCTTGTTGCCTTTGGCGTCTAGGGGTGTGTGCCCATTTGTCATATCTTGTTGGAATGTGACTGGTTTAGCCCCCCAATCATTTGCAAGAGAATGAGCCTGGTTTGTAGGAAGTTTTTTTTTTTTTTTTTGTCTCTTTTTGCATGATGGGGTGCACTGAATGACTGTGCAGTGAAAAGAACACAGGGAAGGAGGGAGGAACCACGGAGCATGATAAATAGTATCACTAGGATGTAATAATGGTTCCTGCATTGCTGTCCGCTGGTCTATAAAATCCCTTTGGGCCATGGAATGTTGGCACAGAGAGAGGAGGTTTTTGTCCTTCCTGCTTGGGATGGAGAGCTGTTGAGAATCTGATTCCCCCGGCCTCCTCCCGCCCTGACCGCTACATTTTCTGGCACTTGTAACAGGAACTATATGAATGCATTTTGGGCAGGAGTCAACCATAAAATTTTTGCTGTGTTGTTATATCACTTCAACAACACATTTCTAGGAACCTTGTTTCCTTGTACTACACAAGGGCCTGCAGGTGCCCTCAAACTTTTTAACTCCTTGACAACAACTGAGTTGCGTTAGTATGAAATCATGTGGGTAAGCTAAAGCTACCAAACCTGTTTCTTCACTTTCACCTCCCCCACAGTGCCAAAGACTGGTCCATGTGGCTTTGTGGTGTGCAAGTTGAGTTAGAGGACAGGAATATGAGCATTGCCATGTTTCCATTGGGGAGTAGTGTCAGCGAGCCCGGAGGGAGGCTGTTTGATGTCAGGCTGAAGTCCTCTGTCCCAGGTCGTGCTGTCGTATGAAAACAGATGGATATCCCAGGCCCCAAGCCAGGCTCCTAGCAAATGTCACCCATGATGTACTCAAATGGCCTTTCCCAGGCTGTATAGGGGTGCTTTAAAAGTTTTCATGGATGAGCTAAAAAAAATCTGCTACTATCACTTATTCAGGTCTTTTGCATAGCATAGTGGCTGTTCTTCGGACAGCAGCTTAGTTTTATACAAAGCATTTTTATTTTATGTTATGAGATTATTTGTTTGTCTGTAGGATGAACATAAACTACACATCTAACATGGATCTGGGTGTGGGGTCTGGAGTAGACCACCAAAGGCTTGGTGGGCCAACCCACATGGGCACCACACACTAAGCCTGTAGTCAACAAAAACACAGAGTGGAGTGTTGCTATGTTAATCAGCAACTATGCTGTAGTTTGCTTCTTCATAAGAAATTCATCAGACCTCTTTACATGGAAATTATTGCTTATGTACTAGCATGTTTAGTGAAAAGATGTTTTTTGTCTTTTACTGAATTATCATGAAATATTGATTAATTGAATGCCTGAAGTGAGTCTATCTTGAGAGGAATATCCTGTGATGAAAGATATTTCTCCTGAGCAGCTTTGTGACTAACTTTCCACTTAAAATAAAATACATCCTCATAACCTGTGTTATTTTTAGAGAAGGTTCCTGTTTTTTTGCAAATTTGGCCTTAATCCGATCCTTTTGGCGATAACTTTCCAGTAGCGTACATTTAGTCTATTTGCTTCTTAGATCCAAGTCAGTGATATACTACCCGGAGGGGCTGACTTCAAAGTGCAGGAACACAAGAGAGAGGAAGACATTAAAGAGGCAGTGGTTTGTATGAGAATGTAAAGCTGACTGTGTTGTCTGTCAGAACTGGAGATCATTTGGACATTGCCAAGTCGTCCAAATTGTTTTGGTTCATTATTGGGGCATAACGTAGATATACCATAAAACACAAGTGCTTTTGAGAGGGCACATTAAATCAGTGAGGTCTCCTTTGAGACCTCCTTTCCAATGACTATCATTCATAAAGTGCAACTGTTTGTCAGCTGTCTCTGTATAAACTACAACACTTTGTCGACCTGTGTTGCATCTGAAAGCCGGTCAGGATCAAAGTTGTTGTTTGCTTTGTTGCCATAGAGTCTCACACAGGGCTGGTAGGTGGAAACTGTGCTAAAGTTAGACGCAGTGTAGGTAGAAGGAATCTAGAGGTGGTCTGTCAGAGCAAAGCTTGGATTTCAGCCCTGCACCAGGTGTTTATGGGAAGGCAAATGAGGCCTGCATGCTAGTAGTTAGACATCAAGACTTTGTAAAGGTGAGGAACATAATGATCCTAACATAGATGCCCCATGTGCTGTACTCCCCTGCCCCTCCCCCCAGAGTGTTTGTAGTCTCTCAGGAGTGGTCACCCACTGTTGTGTCAGTAGTCACAAGTTCATCTCTGCAGTTCAGTTGACATGGTTCATATCCTGCTGAATATCATCTGGCACTAAGCTAAGAGATAAATGGAATCACATTTGTACATGATACTTTTTTTTAATCATTTCTAAAGTGGAAATCTGGATTGTAAACAATATTGGATGGCTACATTTTCTTTTTCTGGAAGAGGTCAAGAGATGGCAGGCATGACAAAGAAGAAGGAAGCACATTCCTGCGCGCTGGTGTCCCTTTTCTTCCTTTTCAGGGTTTGATCCTCCTCTGAGACGCTGTGTGAATGGAGCAGATGCCTCTGTGTGTCGGCAGATGGAGGAATTGTTTGGGCAGCCTAATGAAGGGAGGCTGGGCTGGGCCGATCAGTGGTTACCTTGGTCAATGATATGCTCTTGAGGTGTCCACTGGCATTGTTGGGTCTCAATAGTAGGGACAGGGCAAAAGGCCGGGTGACAGACTTAATTTCAGGGAATGTCGACTACTACAGCCTAAAGATTAGCATTTATATGCAAATAAAAAATAATAATGGGAGACAGTTGTCACCACATCTTGTATCATATTTCTTAAATACAGTGTTTTCTCTAATTCCCCTGTATTCGATTCATGGTTCACTTCCAGTGTATACTATAAAGCAATGTATATTGTTTTGTTGTATACTGGCAGTAGCAGTGGCAAAATTAGGTTGTTGTGTCACTTCTACTAAGTGGAAGTCCATGTGATTAGCTAAAATGTTGGTTTGGTTCTGTTCTGCTCCTGGTTGCTTATCAGCTGCTTCACATTAGGTAGATTTTATGAGGTTTAGAATGACAAAATGGTGACCTGAAGGAAAAGTGACTTTTTTGAAATGGCTGAGGCAGGATGTGATGAACCTTAGCACAAGGTTTAATGAGCCACATACTCTTAAGATGAAATGCTCAGGTATTTGTCAATAATTAGAATACACTGTACCTGTCTGACTACAACATGAATTATGCAATAGTTTAATACATAAACAAGATTCAGAATGTAGTGGGTTTATGTGAATGGGTTAAGCCTACTTAATAAAATAAAATCCAGCAAACTTCATAATATTCAAAAGTACAAATAACTTTTTCTGTTACACCACATGCTTTTGAGCACGTAGCCCCAGTGTGCTGCTCCCATGGGCTGTTTGTTATGCTCACATTACAGGGTGTGTGGTGTGTGTTAAATTTGAGTTGCATAAAATGACTATGATTTTGATTCTTTGGTTGTCTTGTCTCAAATGAAAACTTAATCCAGACAAGACTGATCAAAGCAAGTTGTTGAAGTTGAGTCGGCCATGTTTGGATCACACTTGCGCTGTCCTTGTTGGCCAGTGAAACCAGGAGGCTGATTTTCATGCTTTCTCTGTTGCATAACCACATCTCTGGCACCGGCAGCAAGCCTGTTCTTTACCAGTCTCGGCTGGTTTAGAGAATGGTGGATCTCAGCTGGAGGAGTTTTCCTAATCAGAATTTGAAAAAGATTTTGTGGCTTTTTTCTAACTAACAGGTCAATGTCTATCACATAAAAACTGAAATATGTAGTTCAGAAAGTGTTTGTAATGAGTTAATGCATTTTCTTTGGTCGAATTTCGTGTTCACATTAACAGAAATCCCCTTCTCTATCTCTGTCTGTAGCAGAAACCTAACCTGTCCGGACAGGCCTTAGTGTGCCTAAAGGACAGTACAGTGTTGTCTGATCTCCTCAGTCAGCATGAGGCCATCATATCTTCATCATGATCAGTCAGGGGTAAGCTAGACGCCTTTCCTTGGTGCTCAAAGGCAAATTACTCTATTTAATGCCCCTCTCAGGCACATTGTGATACTGTAAAGATCCTGTGCCCAAGGGGGCTGTAAAACCACAAAGTATAAAGCCAGTGACTCATGTTGACTGACTCACTCAAAACTCTTTAACTTTTGTGATTCCAACAATGTGGCTCTTGCAGCAACATGCCACAGGATCAGCCTGCATCTAACTGAAAGCAAGTCAACAATTTGCAACTATCTGTCTTAGACCTGAGATGCTGCTACTGAATGTGCAAATGAAGTCACCCTTTAAACATTTTGGATCATTTCAAAGGACTAGTTCATCAAGGAGTTCTTAGCCTTAAATTGGGCACTGTTAACTGTTACTTGATGAACAATGACCATATGTAGTCAAAGTTTATTTTCATTCTAGTACCATATTTTGAGCATGCCTTTTATATTTTAATATTATTTAATGTTGTACCACATTGGATACTTTGCCAAGTATCTGAAAAACACAAGGCTGGAGGCCTTCTCAACCACTTGTTAAACAGGCTTAATTTTCAGGGTTTACAAGACTCACATGGAAGTAATTATGAGGTGCACTCATGATGTCATCAGAGTGCTGTGAGACTGGGGATGTGTAGGATGTCCTGGCAAGACTCTCAACTTGATTTCAGGCCATTAAGCTAATGTAGGATTATTATTGAAATACTTTTGTAGGTTTCCCCCATTAAATGATGTTAGCCTTACATCAGACAGCTCTTAAGCTTGGGAAGCAGAATTTCACTTTCAAATAAACATGAGTATTATTTCATTAGAAGTGAACGGTTAGTTTCGGTGGAATTTCCCATGGAGATGACTTGTTTCCAACACGTCATGTGATTCTCCTGTGGGGGTGGCACTGTGTCATGTGACATTTGGAGAGGAACAGCATAAACTACAGAGTGTCCATTGTGTGGCCTTTCTTCCCTCTCGGGCTCATATTTAGTTTTAGATTTCTTCCTGAAATTCCAGAATTTCTTGTCATGCCTTTCATAAAATATAATTATTTTTTTTTTGGTACCTGTCTGTGACATGTTTTAACTTTTCTTGGAAAAGGCACACTTTTAATAACTGTAATAACTTAATCTGAAATGTAGAGTTTCAGTTTAACCACTATCTGTAATGACCTTGCTGATAATGGGCAAAGCCAGTTACATTGTTGATCATGATCCAAAAGAAGAGTCTTCCTTGGAGCTTTTCTCACCTCGTCTCACCTCCATGGTTTTGTGCTTAGTGTAATGCTGATTAGCCTTCTGTACACACAGCATTTTAATCCCATTCACACTGCTTACAGAGCAAATGGTCAATGAAATTAAGTGTGCTAATGTGATTAAAGGAGCTCCATGACTCTTCATTATTCAAGCTTTCACAGTGATTAGACTGACAGTTGGAGCTAGTCCTTTTCAACAGGCCACACACAAAGATAACTTTATCACCAAGCATCTGCACTTTTAACAGCGGAGGCAGATGAGTCGGCTCCTACCGTTTGCCAAATCATCCTTTTAACTAGAGCTAGTGTCATGGTGGTTACAATCCCGGAGAAAAGGTTAGCCTGAAGTCTTTGAAGTATAGGGCTATAACTTTTGATGACCTCTTCAACTGTTGACATGAGGAGTTAATTATGAGCACAGTTAAGGCCACTTTCAATTATTTAAGTTTACTGTGAATTAATTCACATAATGGGTTTGTTGTTATCATCTATAATAACGCTTTCAAACTGGCAATTAAGCATTAAAATATCCAATTTCATTAGTTTGAAACAAATGCTACCTGCCAATATTATTTTATGGATGAATTCTGTCTTTGTAAATTACATCTGTAAGTGGTTCTTGAAGTACTTGTCTGGGACTCTCACCCAGAGGGCACTGTACTGTGTTTGCAACTGGCTCCAACTAATTTAGCCTTCTTATTGTCCTCTTGTGGCTCTATATAGTAATCAACAAGTGGAAGTGTCTACTTGACACTTTGCCACTGGTGCCACTTGTCTGGTGGCATACCATTTACAGATAGTGGAAATTAAAAGAAGTTAAAATGGCCACTAGTTTATTTCCTAAAATGCAGTGCAGTGTTTGTTGAGTTAAAGAGTGCATTTGAGTAAGTAATATATATGTTTAGCTGTGACAGAATCTCTGGGTGTCTTGAAGTATGCAACTTTGGTGCAGTTGGGGTCAGTAATTACAGTTTTTCCCCCTCATTGTTGCCTTGTTCATATGCTTAAGAATGCAGAGAAGGAAATGGACTCCTCCTGCCTTCCTAAATGTATGATTTGTGGTTACCGGTATATAGGCTCTTAATGATGTTGTGTTAGCTGCCATACTGATCTGGGTTTGATTCTTTTCTGTGGTTCATGATAACAAATGTAAAAGAATGCATTTCTCTGACCATGGTTCTGTCTGTGTCCTAGCAGGTGAGGGAGACGGAGACGTGGATGCCCATGAAGACAACACAGAAGGCATCCCTGTCCTCACATGAAGACCTGGAAGCATCAGGAGACTCCCAGAACGGATCAGACTTTGGCTTTTCAGACGATGAGGATGATGATGTGTTCGACCCGTATGATGAAGAGTTCTCTGGCTCAGGAGATGGAGGTGTGTTCCTCACATTTCACAGATGTGTTTATCTGTAACTTTTATTTGCTGCAGTAATTATTAACTTTTAATTTATTTTCCATCCACAGAAATGGTTTCACCCAAACCAGAGAGCAGGCCATCAGATAAGGTAACAGAACATTTTTAATGCAGATGAATTACCTTCACTTTTTTGAGGTAATGTATCTAAACACCTTTCTGCCTTTTTAGCCGTTTGTGAATGACAACAAAATCCCAGATTTGGAGCTTCCGGTGCAACCCACTGTGGACGAGGAAGAAATTATCAGAAAAAGCAATGAAATCCCAGTGCACAGACGCAAGCCAGATACCAGTGAGGAGCACCCATCCAATGTCCTCATGTCCCATGCCACTGAAGACAGCATCTTCAACAAAACAGAGGTTCTTGCCGGTCAGTAACCTGTCACTTGGTGTTAATTCACATAAAATGTGAATGTAAAATCTTAATTTTGATTGAATTAACTTTGCCCATGTTTCTGACACTAATGAAAGTATGATGCATTTAAACACATTGCTAAATCTAACAGTGAATGTTATCTTGTTTTGCAGCTTTGATTGCAGGTGGTGCTGTGGGTCTCATGTTTGCAGTTTTGCTCATCCTCCTGCTTATCTACCGCATGAAGAAGAAAGACGAGGGCAGCTATGTGGTGGGTGGAGCGAAGCCCATCTACAAGAAGGCTCCTACCACAGAGATCTACGCATAAACTCTGGCCTCCTCAAAAACACACCCTGACCCTTTAAAAAAAACCCAATCATGGCCAGTGTTGTGTCCAACAGTGCCTCATCTTTGTCATAACCATACCTCTTCCTCCTCACCTCTTAGCTGACCGCACGTAGCCTAGTCGGCCATGCTGTGCTCAGTAACCAATCAGGAGGGAAGCCCCATCATCACAATCAATTGACTGACTCCTACCTGAACGTCATGTACTGGTGCTCGTTTGTCCAATCACAAGCTTTGACGGTCCTTGTGTCCCTCTCTTTTTGCTCTTGGAAAAGAAGTGGGGACTTTTCAGCTGCCTTTTCAGTGCGGTACAAAGCAATGTTTGTTTTTTTCTCTTGTAATTTTTCTTCCCGGTCACAGAGGACTAAAAAAAAAAACTAAAAAAAACTTTTAATCGCCTCCTGTTTCTGTTTGGTTCCAGTTAAAACACTAAACACTGTGCAATGTTTTGTCTCAGTATGGTACTCATTCAGTCCAGTTATTTATTTTCCCTGTATTGCTGTATCAACCCCCTTCCTCCTCATGTCTTCCTCAATCTGTCTCTTGGACTCTGATTCAGTACTGCGACTTCAAACTTTGCTGTAGCATGTGAATTTAAGTTAATTTTGTTTTTTGTCTTTTTTTAAATAACTCCTTGTAAAGCAGAGAGATTTCATATTTTAGATTTTGTATTAAAGATTTCTCATGATGGGAAAGATCAGATTGTTCAGTGAATTTTATTCTTCACAAACAATCAGTATTTCACTTTTTGTTGCTGGTACATTTTTTTCAAATCATAGTTTTTCCCACATCCTTTCACAGTCCGTTAGATATTGTGGCCTACAGTAAAGATGAATCGCTAAATATACATTTTAGAAGTGTCAGTTTGTGATTGGTCCCCTAACCACACAAGCCCTAGGGCCATGCATGTGAGAAGGGAATAAAATTGAGATGTACAGTATGTATAGTGTTGTGGAATACTATATAAAATACTATAAAAGGGCTACATTATAATTTAAGTATAAGGGCTAGCCTAAATATGTGTCACTGGGTATTTGCAGTTGTCTTATGTAATGAAAGTCCATCACTTAACATGTAGGACCAGATAAACAAGATCAACTAATAAAAGGGGATTTGGTAACTAGCCTGTCACACTTGCTCTGCAATGTTCATTCTGTGCACAACAAAAGCCTAATATACAGTTTGTTGTATCGCTGTACTAATTGCCACCATGGCTCCGGGGTTCTGTGATTACCAAAAACCAAAATAGTTGACCACCTGGCACACCTACATTCCACTTGAAACTCCTAGTTCAGGCTAGTGTTAATGCCTCTCACCACAAAACAAGCTGATCTTTGCTGTCATACTTGCCTTAGTATTCATATAGATGGTAAACTTAACATTTATGACACAAATCAAACCTCTATGATCGGACAAGCTGGTAGTGACCTACAAGAATAAGCTACGGTTTCAAGTTCTCCATTTTTCAGGTGTATGAGCAGTCAGTATCTTCACATTATGTAGTTAGTTTCATTGCAGATAAACTGATCTACAAAGGCTTGTAAATAGTAATGTAACTAAAAAAAGGTACTTGGCCACTTTCTGGCAGCAAACGATCTACCAAATATTTAAAGCCAAATGTTTCTTTCTCCAACATCATCTCACTGTACAAGAGGGTGTCCGTTTGGAGTCTGATTCTAACACACCTGTCTTTGCTTCATGCTTCAGCCTGTCCCCTTTTGTATTAATTTAACTGTCAAATTATTTTATTGCCTTCTTTCAGGTTGGGGTACTGTCCCCTTAAGCTGATGTACATGTGATTTAAAGTTTTATATATACATTAGTTTGGGATTTCAGAAGACAATAGTTTTGAACCTTTTGTAAGAATTTCTATCTTTTAGACTTATTTGCTTTTTGTATTTATGTTTTTATTTGTAGAAGAATTGTGGTTGGCTACCATCCCATCAGACGGGGGGATGTGCCAAGGAGCCATGCTGCCTGAAGCAGACTGGGGTTGATCACTATGCGATACTTAGACCCAAGCCAAATAGAGAAAATCTTACCAATTGGGAAATATAGCATAGTAAAAATAACTGTTAAACCTGTCTCGGTGTGCTCAGTTGTTGCACATTTAAAACAACACAAGAATATGTACAGTCATTGGCCTTTACCCAAGACAGTAGCCTATGAATGTTTTGGTGCCTCGGTGACATGATCTGATGGTCTGCATTAGCAAATGAATCAGATCCTTTGTGTCAGTGTGGGAGCAGGCCTGCTATCTGGAGTGGGCTAAGCTGACCCAGAATAGAACAAGGTGGAAGCATTTCAAATGGTAATCAGCCTCGGCTCTGCTCACTTAGCATGGGGGAGATATTACTGCTGCTTAATGTCACAAACACCACATGTGAATCACCAGTGGAGTGGAGAATCCAGTGAATCATTGGTTTCTGCACACATGTTTTGATTTATAAATGGAAATAAAGCTATTTTTATGCACACAAATATTTTAAACAATTGTCTTTGTCTTGTTCTTTATAGGGCCCATCTTGATCTTAAAAGACTTCACTTAAAACTGCACTTATTTATTGCAAAGATGGATGCACTATAATACCAGTATGAAAATTTGTGAAACTTAAACTACATAAAACCATATTTGATAAAGGCTTCACACCATACAAGCTACTGTTCAACGCAATTAACGCATTTTACAATTCAAAACCAATAGGCCCCGTGATCAAAATTTGTGGTCAACGTTTGTTTCAGTACTAGTACCAGCTGATTTTAACATGAACAATTTTCTTGTCTTTGTTTATGGCATGGGTTCAGTATATAAACTTGGGTGTATGAGAAGTTTGCCAGCCCCAGCCCTCTGACGACTTTCTCGGTGTCAGATATCCTGTGTGTTCTGCCCATAGCTCACCTGGGCCTCTTTGTCTCCTATTGGCTCTGACACACAAAAGGACATGCAGGCATCCGATTCATAAGATAATGCTGTTGTATTTGGAAAAAGAAAGGATCATGATTTTAGGGCAGAAGTACCACCTCCTGGGATACATTTTGACTTTAAATTGCGTTTTTCTAAAATATTTTATGCAATTTTATATACTCATTTCAATGAACCCTTGTTTTATTAGGTCCACTAACATCTGTTCTGCTATTGCCACCCTATTATAAACCACAGGTAACAAACAATCCCTATGGTCACTGAGTCCAGGATTGACAGATTTTAAGAGAGCAACAAGAGACCAAGCCTTTGGGAAAAAGGCCCAAACAGGCAACCCCTAGGCCCATGCAAATAAGTGAGAAAATATAAGTTAGTTAACTTAGGCTTAGGCAAACTTTATTGATCCACAAGAGAAATTATTTAGATGTATGTTGCTGCTAAACAAGAGCAAATAAGATGTGCAGAATTTTTAATAAACTATTTAATATAAAAAATGGTGTGTTCCAGTCTTTACTAAGCCTAAACCTGAGAAAAGGCTAAAAATCACCTCTTAACCTGAAAGTTCAGCTCAGGAACAAGCCCCAAATGACTTTTCAAGAAGAAGTGGGTTTAACAACTGCGGCTGAATCTAAAATTGCCATTTGTATTGTGCATTTCAATATTAAATATTTAATTAAGTGCGGGGTAGGAAAAATATTTTTCCCTTTAAAAAGAATGAAATTAACTATACAACTCACAGTGACATTTAATCAGTAAAGGTTTAGTAAACTGAAGTATTAATACAATTCATCCTGGAAAATAGATAAGACCAGGAGTTGCCAATTTCCTCAATCTCTGATTCCACGTCCTAATTCCTACTCGGAATTGCCGAAGGTTCCTACAGTGTGAAAAGAAACCTGTTGCTATTACAACAACTGCTACAAAGCCACTACAACTACCAATACTCTTTCTAAACATAATGCTACACCTGCAACTATAAAAGAAAATAGACCCGGATTATACACAAAGGCGTGTCATGGCAATTAACCTTTTAACTTGACAACACAAAACTCAAACAAACAAACAAAAATCCTAATAGTATTTCATTATGAGTGATGATTCATGGCAACAAAAATATGTGAGTCATCTTATAAACCAGATTGACTGAATAACTTACAGGTAGTGTACAAAAATAGCATGCCTAATTTGTGCGTTGTTGATGTACTTTCAGAGCCAATGGACAAGCCACTGCCTGCCGCCCTCGTTGCTTCGGGGAAAAACACCCGTAGAGGGAAAACACTGGCAAATACAAC